GCCAGTTATTAAGTAAACCAGCTGGTAACCTCCCATTCTAAGTTCCCCATTGATTTTGCTTGTTAGGATGTCGCAAAAGGTACTGGTATGGGTCAGTTGCCATGAGTTGCTTCTCATGTTAACTATGTGACACTGTCAATGCATGGCTTGGAGCCAGATCTGCTGGTTAGCAAAGATATGCAGGCTCTGAAAACAGCAGCAGATCAGCTCTTTCACAGAGGCCGTTAGGCTCCAAAAGCAGTGGCAGATCTGTTTAGCGAAGACATGCAGGCTCCAAAAGTGGCAAATGATCAGCTGTTTCGCGGAGGCCGTTCAGGCTCCAAAAGCAGCAGCAGATCTGTTTAGCAAAGACATGCAGGCTCCGAAAGCAGCGGCAGATCACCTGTTTCACAGTGGCACCTTAGGGAGTTCTTCCCCACTCGCCTTCATCCCCGCAACTCCTCACCTCGTGTCATGTCATTGCAAGTAACCAAAGGAAATGGTGGGCGCCAGCTGTGACGGCACTTGAATAGGTCTTATTTTGGGGGTTAGCTTATATTTAGCGCATGAGCCAATAAGGTGATAGGGCTTACTTTTGGGGGGGGGGTCTATTTTCAGGGAAACATGGTATTTCTCACATTACTTTTTGATTTTAAAAAATCTACAAGAGGTGAAATACAAAAAATACAAAAGGGCCTGGTGGCTCAGCAGACTGATAGCATTGTGATTAACACCAGCTGCCTGCAATTACTGTAAGTTCAAATCTCACCAGGCTCAAGGTTGACTCAGCCTTCCATCCTTTCTAAGGTAGGTAAATTGAGGACCCAGTTTGTGGGGGCAATAAGCTGACTTTGTATAAATATACAAAAGGATGAAGGCTATTGCTTAACGCATTGTAAGCCGCCCTGAGTCTCCGGAGAAGGGCGGCATATAAATCAAATTTAAAATATATATATATATAAACTTTGTCCATAATTTTAGTTGGGTGTACTCTGGATTTAAAGCAAGCGGCAATACCAGCTTTATAAAACAGACAGACTCAAATAATAATAAGATCATCTAGTCCAAACTCCTATCTACACAGGACGTGCACTTCTATAGTATTCCAACAGCTAAGCATGAAATAAAGATAATAAAGATAATATTTTCTTAAGAATCTCATAGTGGAGGTTAAGTAAGATAATCTGTTCTATATCTAATAACTCATCACATGGATAGTTTTTTCTATTATTTAATTAAAAACTTGTAATATGAACAAACATTACAAGCTTCTTCTGTGTGTAACTTCTGAGCTCAGCACAGGCTCCCCTCAGGGCTGCGTGCTCAGCCCCTTCCTGTACTCACTGTATACAGAGGTGAAATCCAAATTTTTTCCCTACCTAGGGAAAGTAGGCGTGGCTTGGTAGGCATGGCAGGGAAATGATATTGCAAAATCTCCATTCCCACCCCACTCTGGGGCCAGCCAGAGGTGGTATTTGCCGGTTCTCTGAACTACTCAAAATTTCCACTACTGGTTCTCCAGAACCCGTTAGAACCTGATGGATTTCACCCCTGACTGCATATCCTCAGATCCAACTAACATCATAATAAAGTTTGCAGACGACCCAATAGTGTTGGGGCTTATAACTAGAGGGGACGAATCAGCATACAGGGAAGAAGTCCAGAAAGTATCCATATGGTGTTCAAAAAACAATTTACATTTAAATACTAGCAAGACCAAGGAGATGGTGCTAGATTTCCGGAAGCACAGAGAACCTGCCACATTGTATATCGAGGGGGGCTGTGCGGAGAGGGTTTCCTCTTTTAAATTCTTCAGAGTGCTCATTAGTCACGATCTCACCTGGAAAAACAATATGTCCCTGGTGGTTAGAAAGTGTTGTGGCCCGCCAGCGGCCTGTGCGGATTGTTGCTGATCCCGACAAGGAGGCTGGTGTGGTGTCGCGCCAGCAGCCTGGGCAGCCGGCGCTCAAGTAGGACAGCGAGGAGGCTGAAGAAGATGTGGTGCCAGAGACAGAGATTCAGCCAGGGCCTTCAGAATCTCCAGAGGCTCCTTCAAGTGAAGAGGATGAAGTAGAGAAGCCTCTTCTCAATGCACGAGCACACAGAGCTGCCAAAAGGCAGGAGTGGTTACTCAGGAGGAAGTCTCCTCGAGAGTAAAGGCTTGGGGCTAATTGGCCACTCCCTTAGCCTATTTAAGTTTGCACACAGCTTGTAAACGTTGCAGAAAACAACGCATGTTCGCTTGCTGGTCATTGAACGTGGATTGTCTTTGCAAACCTTGCTTCTGGGCTAATTGCCAACTCTTGTAAGACTTTATCTAATCTGCGGAATTTCTGGTAGGTTGTTAAGGATATTTTATTAACAGCCTGCATTTGCAAAAGACTGTGTTTGTAGTAAACCAAGTTGTTCGGAGTTTTGTGTGTGCTACATTCCTTGGGATCTGTAGCTGGGGCAGAACACAAAGGCTCAATGGAGACTTCATTTCCTCAGAGTCCTGTGGAACAATGTTGATGACTTCTTTCTATCGGACTATGATAGAAAGTGTCCTCACATATGTATAACAGTATGATATGCTGGTCTAACAGCTGCAGACAGGAAGACACTACAGAGAGTTTTCAATTCGGCACAAGAAACCATTGGTTGCCCTCTAACACCACTGGATGACATCACCAGGTCTCGCTGTTTCAGCAGAGTAAGGAAGATACTTAGGGATGATTCACACCCTGGCCAGTGTCTCTTTTCGCTTCTACCATCAGGCAGAAGATATCAAAGCATAGCCAGCCGAACAAACAGGTTTAAAAACAGCTTCTACCCAGGGGCTGTAAGACTCTTAAACACAATCACAATCACTCCACGCATATGCGGAAATGTATGTCTAGTCTTTTTTCCCCAATTACTTGTATAGGGATTGTTCTCTATACTATTTATGTTGTTTTGTATTTCTGTTATGGATTGCACCAGATAGGCTAAACCAATTTTGTGTATATATGATGTACAATGACAATAAAGGCTATACTATACTTCTTAAAGATGGCTATCATATAATCATTTCATGTTTATATGTTGTCATTATTTCTTCACCATATTTATACCAAACACTAGCAATCTTTTTCTTCATAGGACTTGCCTCCAGATCCCTTCCCATATCTATAATAATCCTTCATCTATGTTGCAACCAAGGAAGTTGCCTCCATCCATGTATACCATAGCTGAAACATACTAAGTTTAGCTTCTCCTTCCTCTTGTCTCAGTGCAGAAATTAAAACAATCTAGTGAAGAAGGAATGGAATAATCTTTATTTCTATCCCCAATCCTCTCCCTTATCCCTGTGGAAGTTCTGAGCATCCTTTGCTACCAATAAAATTATTATCATCATTCATTGGCACATTAACATCCAGAGATCCTAGCAAAGGTTGCCTGGTTGACACTGATGTAGTTTCCCAGAATAGCTGCTTCTCCTTTGCCAAGACTCTGAATTTTGATCTGATGCTGGCTATGATCAACTAAAGGACAAAGGTTTAAATGTGAAGGTACAAGAAATTAGTGTTAGGTAAACACAATTTAGCCTTTTTGAACAGATACACATGAAACAAGATATAAATCACACAGACTTATATGAAAGGGATCAGAAAATTATCTAAATGTTTTGATTATCCATCACATTAAAGCAATATGTGGTTTTCTTGGACTTGATTAAATATAATGTACCACAAAAACTAATGCCAAACAAACAGCATTTTTCTTTTATGGAAGCTATATCTTCTTCAGTAAAAAATATTTCATTATGTGCCTTTACATTTTAGATGTAAAAATCTAAAAATGCTAGGCAATCAAATCCAAGCATCATCTCTAACAGCAGATAATAATTGTATTATTTTTTTATTATCCTAAGTTATTATGAAAAAACAGCAGGTTGATGAATGTGGCTGGTTGTATTTTATCTACTGATATAAGTGATACAGGAAAAGCTTATCATGACAACGCAACCCATGGTTTTGTTTTTGTTATTATTATTTTTTGCTGTGAAAAATAAACCAGATTCAGGGAAAAAGAACAAGCATTCTGAATTATTACTGGCTTATAGGGCCATCTTGTTTGGACCAACCTAACCAGAGATTCTGGAATTTATATATTATAGCTGTCTGCAACTTATTAGCATTACATAAAATTGGAGGGGAGAGGCTGAATCACCCATTACCTTGCTAGTTCATAGTAAGTTAGGAATTCTGAATTATTGTTATGTCCAAATATAATTTACAATTGCTCTGATGTAACATAAGCTTTGAGTGTCACGTTGCTTCACATTCACAGAAAAGAAAGATCAGAAAATATATTTTTATGTGTTAAATTTATATTTACCGACAAAGAAATAAAGGGAGATAAATATAAATTTCTTTGCAGGAGCCTGCAAAGGCTCCTGGATTGGGGTTGAAAGGCAAAAGCGGAAGCAGTATGCTCCATCCCATATTTAAGTAGACCAGGTTGCCCTGATAAAAAACATATTTTAATGTGTCTCAAATTAACTTATTTGAAAGCTGAGCTGCATTGTTTTGTGTTGTTTTTAGGAATTTAGAAATACAATCATTATGTTACTACTGTATTTTTGTATATGATTTAACATTTTTATTTTTAATATTCTATATAGTTTTGGGATAAATGAATTCTATTTGTAAATTTACTTTCCTGCTTTTTTCTAATTTTTGTACCTTAAGAAAATAAAACAATATTTTGAAACAACATTAATTGCCACTTGATTCCTAAGCATGATTTTTTTGGTTGGCGTAAGATTAATAAAAAAGATTAATGGAATCCATGGTACTATGCACAGAACGTTTCATCCAATTTCAGTATCAGAGATGGATATAATTGACTTTCTTTTCCTTCATTCACTGATTTAATACATACAAATGTTTTCATCAGTTTCTTCTGCAAAAATCTAAATAAATATTTTCCAGCTGAAATATAATAAATAAAAGAACTATAGCTGGATGTTTAGATTAAACAACAAAGAAAAAGTGTACCTCAAGCTCCATTTCTCTCCGATTAATATCATCTGTAGATTGATTCAACTTTTCTAGTTCTCCCTAGAAGAAAGTCAAAATAATACGTTGAGTAATAAGACACTGAGGGGGCCATGGAAGGAATCAAGTTATTAAGTGTCATCTGGCAATTCAAAGAGAGGCCGCCAATGGAATGTTAAATGGAAACAGAAGGATAGAAAACATTTAAAAGTAAAACTGAACTTTAGTTTAGCTAGGCTGCTTGAAAGAGCAGAAACAGAGACCAGACAGCTTTTGAAGTTTAATTTTTAACATAATTGTAATTTCAGTTTCAGGGTTTTTTTCTATTACTATTGAAGCTCTACATAATTATTTAGTGTGGCACTATTAGCAAAATAACAAATGATCAAATAGACATACGATTGTGAAAAAATTGGGATTAAAAATACAACATATTCTCCTAGTTCTTGAAGGCTCTAAGTGTTTGGTTCCAATAGTAAATAAATTCCATGCAAAAGTCATAGCATAAAATACTAAAATATTTTTATATTTATTATATTTTTACCCTGTCATGGTTTTAAGGAGAATAAGACAATGTACGTATTCCTCTCACATTCTCTCTAAAAAAGTAAAAAGACTCCCTGAACTACAGCTTTACTTCTAGTAAGAGAGAGACTGGACAAAGCTCACATGGCTATCAAGGTTCTTGATTGAATTCCTTCTCCTGACTTAAGTCATAGGTGTCTGCATGATGTTTGTATGGCAGAGAAGGGGATAAGTATGTCGCATGTGTTATGAAATCATGAATGATGTAATTTGCATTATTTTCACAGTGATGCCACATTATACATTTTATCATTCCTTGTATTAGTATACATTCCTTGTAATATTATAACTAGAGGTTGCATTTCTAGATTTTTAGTCCTCTGCGATTCGAAAAAATAGGGAAAACAAAGATTTTCAGATGCTTCTCTTTCACTTGTTTACTAATTGTTACAATATTCAGAAAGAGTGCCAATAATATAGACAAGGAGATGTTTGAACAGATAAATGTACTCAAAAGCTATTTTCAAATTTTTATTTTTTATTTTTTGTCCTACTGCCAGTATTTGTCTATAAGAAAAATACAACCATTTTAAATGCACTTAAGGAATTTTAAAACAGAACCAATTTTGTGTAGGGGTTAAAATGCTGACCTAAAAACCATGAGGCTGTGAGTTCTAATCTGGTTTGAAAAGTTATGATATGGGTGACTTTGAGCCACTTACTCTCCCTCAGCTCAACCCACCTCATAGAGTTACTATTGCAGGGAAATTAAGAGGAAGGAGTACAGATAGTCTAAACTTACAACCATTCATTTAGCAACTGTTCAAAGTTACAACAGCAATGAAAAAAATTAATTACAACCGGTCTAATTTTATGACCATTGCAACATCTCTGCAGTCATATGATCAAAATTGAAGCATTTAGCAACTGGCGTGTATTTATGATGAATACAGCATCCTGGAGTCATGTGGTCACAATTTGGGACCTTCTCAGCCAATTTGACAAAGTTAATTAGGGAAGCTGAGTTTGCTTAACAACCACCTGATTCTTAACAACCATGATAAAAAAAGGTCAAATTGGTTGCAACTTATTTAACCATCTTGCTTCTGATCTCAATTGTCTTAAGTCAAGGATAACTGGTATTCTGGCCTCAAGTTACTTATAAAGTAATAAAAGTAAAAGTAAAAAAATCTACTACATAAATAACTAACTATAAAGGAACAAAATCTCCTTCAGGTCAGGGATTAGCAGGGAGGGAGGGAAAGGAGATAAAGCTTCATCTTTCAAACAATGTTTTGGATCATTTGCAGTCCATTGCTTTTTATTTTAACTTTGCTTCCCTGTCTATGGAAAGGTGTTATGAAACTCTACTGAAAGGAATACATGCAGTGAATTGCCAATGTAATTGGCTGGTAAACATTTTCCATCCATGGCAATATCATGATTATTGTTACCAACTCCAATCTGATAAAATGAAGGAAGTTCTTATATTTATTGGCATGAGTATCATAAAAATGAAATACAGCATTTTTTTGTTTAAAAAAAAGTGAACTGTAAAAGCAATCAGGATTTTATTCATAACAAAGGCCACCTAAGTGTCTTCCAGGGAGTTTAAGGAATAAATTAAGGGGGAAAGCAAATTCCAAAAAATAAATCACAAAATCACAAAAATCACAGAATAATTACAAACCACTGCCAACAAAATGAAACCAAGATTGAGACACTGGCATCACTGAATGAATCCATTTGTGCCAGACAACTGGCAATATAAATCTTTTAGTGGGCAACAGATCTGCCACAGAAGAATCACATTAGAGAAGGAATTTCGTAGAAAATGTGCAATGATTATGCTATTTAAAAAGTGCCATTTCCTTAGTCACCAATAAATCATTCTTCTGATTCCCAAACTGGCATTTCCACTGACTACCTTCACAAATTGGTCAAGTTTGTAGTAGGGAAGGAGATGCTTCCTACAACTTTGCCAATTTTGGCAGGAATGGGAAAAGTGAGAGATTGTAACAGATAGAATATATAACATTCCTTCCTATGTATTCTGTCAGAGTGACATCAGTCTTTATGTTAACCTCCCCAACCTGATCCTTTAAGTAGGGATGAAATTCACTTACCTTCCCTACCCATTCGCAAATGCACATGCACCGTCGTCCGCCCATGCACAAAGTCTTCTGTGCATGAAAACTGTCGCAAAAAAGGGACATCATGTCCGCATGGGTGGATGGAACCTCCCGCAGCTGCCGCTACTGGTTCGTCCGAGCCAGATAAAACCAGCTGAATTTCACCCCTGCCTTCAATTTACGTAAATCTGCATCTATTAAGAGGCCTTGCCAACAGCCTTCTGGCTCTGGTAAAGATGTCTTTTGCTCAAGTCAAACTATCACACATACACTTTTATTGGCAATGATATGAAACTGATTTGCCACCCTCCTTTTTCCAGGATGATTTTTTTTGTCCATCTTTATGGCTTTGGGATTTCATAGCTGTTTTCCATCCAGGCACCAACCCACTTTTCAAGGTCACCTGAGATCTGCAGACCAGCTTGGGTAAGATCTGAACCACTACAACACATCAGAGTTTGAGGACATCCAGAGACTGAAACTTTCATGACAGGGTCACTTGACATTTAGAACAGGAGTTACCAACAATGATTAAGTATTGCCTTTTAATAGAACTACAGCAAGATCCTGCAGATGGATTAAATTACCCCCAAGGCCCTTTCCAATCTTTTCTAACTTGCCCCCAATCTTTTAGGGTCTTTCTAGCCCAGGCGCGGCATCCCTTGGTGGTATCCCATCTCCTTTTCGACCCACCTCCCGGTTCGCGTAGCTCCGCCATGCTAAAAGAATATGTAAAGATAAAAACGGATTGCGGAGAGGAGCTGAATCCAGGAAACTGGAGCAAACTGCGAAAGGAAGGATCCGCCTCGCAAAAGAAAATGCCGCTCCGTGGAGGAAGAATAAAGCCCCTTTAGAAACGGGAGCATCTTTCCTTCGCAATGAGTTCCTCCAGCCAGCTGCAGAAAGACTTCGCCGGAAATCTAATAAAGCCAAAGCCAAAAACAGGGGGGAAAACCCACCACCATCAAAATAACGGGGTACAACAGATAGGAAAACGCCCGAGGGAGAAAAAGCGAAATATATTCACGAAGAGTCAAAGAAACTAACCAAGGGTTTACAACGCGCGCTTACTTCGTAATTACAGACCTGCTCGGGCCCCGATCCTATCACCCCACCCACTTTCCACTGCAATCGCGCTTCTGGGACCACCCCCAAAGATCTCGGGTAGGGCGATCGGAGGCTCCGCTTACTTGAATCCTGGGGTCCACTTCTTCCTCTTCTTCCGGGGGCTGCAGCGGACTCCCTTCCTCCGCCGCGGTCCTCTTAGAGCCAGGATCCATGTTGGCTGAGCGTGATTTGCCGATCCAGAGAAGGAAACTGATCCTACCTCTGCGCTTTGGGGAGCTGAGGGGCCGCCGCCAAGCTGCTCCAGCAACCTAGGTTCCACTGGTAGACTGCGCCGCCACTGCGCGGTGGTCTGACCCTTTTGCTCCTCGGCGCGAGGCTGCGCCAGAAAGTAGGAAATGCTTCTCCGTTAGCGAAAAGGGGAAGGAAATGTGCCTCGCCCCCTTGCTGCCGCCGCAACTGCTGTTATTAAAGCGGCGGCGGTGCAGTCACAGAGTGGCTCTGACTCTCCTTGACACCTATATGCGAGTCCCACTATATCAGGCGCCTCCTTCCCCGAAGCAATTAAAGCAAGGCTTCTGAAGAAGAATACAATAGCCGCAACAAAGCGGTTAAATGCAGTTAAGTAATACAAGCTCCCCCCCCCCCCCGCCCATTCGGTTCTTTTAGTGCTGCAGAATTGCTCCCCTCTGCCTGGGATCGCTTCGGCAATCCTCACGTATTACCAGCCTACTCGTTACCCCGCGAACTAGGAGGTCCCAGACTCACGCACTCGAGTGTCCTGGGAAGCCATCCTCGCTGTTTTCTGGCCAACCTGCAAGGAGATTGGTGGGCGCCTGACAGGTTTAAAAGACTCGAGATGGCCCGGAAGCTTTTGCTGAGGACAGTTGCTTCACTAGGCACACAGCTAATTGCCATCAGCACGTAGGTGTGCACTGCAAGTAGGGAATGAATGTAGACAGTGGTGGGATTCAAATAATTTAACAACCGGTTCTCTGCCCTAATGATTTCTTCCAACAACCAGTTCACCAAACTGCTCAGAAAGTTAACAACCGCTTCTCCCTAAGTGGTGCAAACGGGATGAATCCCTCCACTGGATGTAGACCTACTGCAGGTAAACAGCCATTGATTGGTTGATTGATTTGTACATCACAGTAGCAGAAATGCTACTCTGGGTAGTTTACAATAATGAATACAAAATCACATCACACCAACAATGAAAAAGTCAACAAGAACAAAAGCCACAATTAGAGCACATCAAGAAGTACTTGCCCCCAGCCAAATCATAAAGTCTTCCTGAAGGCTAAGGGAGAAAGATCCTTCCACCAAACTCATCAAAAT